TTCGTCCTGCCCTGCCTCAGTTCAGTCTTAGAGATGTGGAAAGAGGCAGGTTGCTGTGGAAATTACACAGCTGAGTATTTGTTTAATTTTTACTTACTCTGGAATGTGATACCTGAAAACACACAGCATTAAGAAGCAGCACTGCACACTGTCTTCAGGACCCTGTTAGCTGTCCTACTGGCTGTGCCCTGTTTGTCCATCCTGACGGTGTTCTGTGCCCTGCAACTAAATGGTCTTTGATTTGTTTAAATCTGGAGTACAGAGCTGTCTGTCCCCACCCCGGTAACCCCTACACCTTAAAATGTAGCAGCCTTGCTGTGGTGCTTGCTCTGCTCACAGTGTCTTAGTGTTCTTCATGTCTGTTGTGGATTCTCAGCTGACCTGTCACCAGCTCTGGTCACTGAAGTGAAGGTGGAAGACGTGGCCTCACTTGCCTTTGTGTGTGGCACTTTCTTGTCTTATAGGACTGAGTGTTCGCTTGGCAGGTACTGGGAGGAGTTAGCTCTTGGCTGCATAATGGGATTGTAAACCTCCAGAGGCTGGAGATGGGCCATACCCTCTCTGTGATCCATGAAGGCCTGGGCCTGAGCCACATAGTAGTGTCCAGGCTCCTTCACCATGTCCTGGGTCATGCACTAGGGCAGGGGTTGGGACTGTGGACCAGAGACTAAAAGTCTCAGGTGCTAAGCCAGCTTACAGACCAGTCGGGGGTTGCCACTGGAGATGGTGCCACTCATCTGAGTATCTGGGAGCTGGTCCTTGCTCTGTGCCTCTGTCCTGGCCCTCATATATTCGTGAGGGTTGGTTTGCTGTTCACTGCTGATCAGAGATGCCACCCAGCCTCATGGGATACTGTGTAGCTGGGGGAATCCTGTTGGTGTGAGCCTGCCTGTCACCATTGTGTCAACACCTTTGGTCAGGGCACCCTTCACATTCACCTTCTTCTTGTGCTTAAGGATATGGTGTCTCCTTCTGGTGTTCAGGTGTGTGAATAATTTGAAGAGGAGCCAGAAGAGCGGTGCATGTCCCAGAGACACGGCAGCCTGCTGACTTCCAGATGACCAGGGCTAAACGGCCTCTGGGCTACACTTAGTAGTGAGCTGAATATGATGGAGCCTCCCTGGGGCCTCAGTGTGTCTTGAGACACTCCTGTTTTCAGAGCATTGTGCACAGTCGCTCCTTTCCCTGGGAGGCACTAATACCAGGTCAGAACAGTTTTGAATCCAGGTATCTCTAGGTCAGTCCACAGAGATGGGAAATGGCAAGGCTGAGGGATTGGATTTCCAGGTTATTACAGTGTCAGCTAGTCCTGCCTCCCATGGTGAGAACAAGCACTTTCACCATAGCAAAAAAAAAAAAATTTTTTTTTTTTTAAATCTGGCCTCTGTCTTAGGTCCTGACACAGAGCCCCTCAGAATTGTTATTCCCAGGGAGCCCCCCTTCCTTCACATCCACTTATGCTAACGAGGTGGCCCCTAGATAGGCTTAGGGTAGGGCTCTTCACCAAAAGAACACAGATCAGAAAGTTGGAAATGTTAGCCCCATCCACTGACCTCTGGATAGTAGACAGGGAAGGGCTGGGGATTGGCTTATGACAGCTCATGACAGTGACGCTGGGAGAGCTCCATATTGGTGGACTCACACACTCCAACTCTGTGGGGATGGAGCTTCTGCACTTGGGACTTTTGGGGATGCCACCTGTTATGGTTTAGATCTAAAATGTCCTCCAAAAGCTCACAAATGTGCCTTTTAGAAGATGGTTGGATTGTAAGGGCCCTAACATCATCAGTATGTTGAACCATTGATAAAGCCATAATTTGGTGACAGTTTTGGGAGCTAATGGTAACTTAGGAGGTACAGCCAAACATGAGCTGCCACAGGGTCATGACTTGGGGGTTATTACTGGAACCTGGCTGTCTCCTCTCACTATGCTTGCTGGCTGCCACAAGGTGAGCAACTTTCCTCTACCATGATGTTCCTTCCTTGGAGCCAGACAACCATGTGCTGAAACCTCTGAAACCTTGATCCAAAATAAACTTCTCCTCCTTTAAGTTGTAGATGTCAGGTATTTTGTCCCAGCAATGGGAAGGTGACAAATATGTCTCCCTATATACCCCTTCATTTAGATGTTCATTTATATCGTTACTGATAAACCTGTAAATGTAAGTATATTCCTGTCCTTTTATGTAGGGAAGATGTGTTCCAAGACCCCCAATGAATCCCTGAAGCCATGGATATCCCTGAGCCCTTTTTATGCTGTTTTTTTCTGTACATACATATCTGTGATAAAGTTTAATTTATAAATAGGCACACTAAGAGATTAACAATAACTAATAGGGTAGAGCAGTTGGAACACTGTACTCACTGATGTTAAGTGAATATGATTTCTTCCGTCTCAAAAATACCCTATTGTACTATATTCCCTACCCTTATAGTACTTGAGTGTCCCCTTGAGGGACACTTGAAGAATGTAGTGCTGGCTTCTCTTTAGGGTATCCAAATTGCAAGGAGGGTCACTGGACAAAAGTGTGGGCATTACAAGGAGAGTTGACCTGATGACCAAGACAACTACTGTCTGTAAGTGACTAGTGGATGGGATGATTCACATCTCAGGATGGGCAGGACAGCTCAAACTTTCATCACACGACTCAGGATGCCATGCAATTTAAGACTTACAAGTTGTTGTTTTTCTAGAACTTTCTATTTAATATATTAAATAGCTGAAGTTGACTGTGCACTATAAGGTCAGCATGTACTCCAGGTAGATAATGTCAGTCCTGACTCAAAGTGTGCAAAGCCCGCTGGTGTCAGAGTGGGTATCAGAATCCAAACTGCTCTGCCTGAAGGGACAAACAAAACTTCAGGTCTGACTCAGATACAGGGTCCTCCAAGCTCTTATCCAACAGTGTAGGTGGGAATAACATGTTTTGTAGACATGAATAACATCTTTCTGAAGGCTAAGTGACATACCCCAGCCTGGTCTCTGGAAGTCTTGTACACCTGACAAGACTTGTACACACACTGAGTCATAGACTGATTAAAGTACATGGGCAGTGCTTTTGAGTACACTGAGACCACATATCTGTCACTTTGAATCCATTGCCTTGAGGTTTGATATATCTTCCCACGTGAGTGTACCAAGAGTAAAGTGTTATGCATCATTTATGCATGTGGCTTTGGAGTGATACACCTTCAGTGTGTATGAGAGTGTGGGGCAGACACTGTGAGCCCAAGCCCACACCTGAGAGCCTGTCTGGGTGTAAGCTGATGTGCTGGTTCCGCTGCTGCTGGTTGCCCTGAGCTGGAGTGCTCCAGACCTGCCAGGTTCTAGATGTTTGGTTATGGAGCAGTCACTCACAGAGAGGTGTGATGGCATTGTGGAGCTGGTGGCAGCCCTTCTGTGACAGGCATGGTTCCCCAGTGCAGGAAGAACTCAGTATACATGGAACCAGCGACAGGGTCCCAAGCAGGATGCATGTTCTTGTACCTGCTTCAGACTTCTGCCACTGGAAAACTGAAACCAGGTTGGGCTTTTCAGAAGTTCCTTTTGGATCTCTGGAAATATTTATAGTGAGATTATAACTTTTTAAAACATGTCCATACCTTTGGAGATTTTTCACTTTTCTACAATGAGCACTTTTTTACTTTCATTTAAAAAAGTCTTAAAAAGCACTTTCTGTTGCTGCATTGAGGTTTCTTTCTGGGCCCAGGGAGGTTGCAGCGAGCCGTGGCATTGTTTATGACGCAGTGTTCGGGCCATCTCCACCATGACCCTGTTCTTGAGAAGGCCTGGAGTAGCTGAACGGTTGGAATGATGGCTGGGGCCTGCCAGTTGTTGTCCTGACCCCCAGTATGCCCAGTGTCTGAAGTGTAACTGTTTTGATCCCAGGAAGGGGTTCTGGTTGGTGGGAGAGGAGCTGAGCAACACCAGTATTGGACTCTCCACGCAGCACACAAGTGGCCACGTGCTGCAGCCCATGGTGCCTTCTGTGTGTCTTGTCACCTCTAGAGACCACTTTGGATCTCCTAGAGGACTTGCTTTCTGTCCTCGGAGTTTGGACTTCTGCAAGGACTTACAAGGCTGGTTACGCTGGGTGTTACCCACCTTCTCACACAGTCAGCATGATGCAGTCTCTGCCCTGCACTGACCTTCTGTCTCCACAAGTTCTGGGGCTGCCCTGTGAAGCTGCTCCTTTCTCCTCAAGTCAGTGACAAGTGACCATTTGGCTCAGGCCTTACCAGTACACAAACGGTCACAGGGCATTTTATACAATTTATCAGAAGTTGATTTCAAAACAGAAGTTTGATTTCTGGAAATGTTGCCCGTCTTCCTTCTTATTTGGGAGAACATAGGCCACCTTGGGCAGTCTAAGCACAGCCTCACCAAGCTTAGGTGGTGGACATGTTCCAGTCTGATTTTTCTCAGTGAGTCAGAATAGATGGAACAGTTCTGAATACAGTCAAAAGTGGGTTAAAAGAAACAATACCGTGATTCCTATGAGGCACCACCAAGGCATTTTTCTCAAAGGAATGTGTCTCCAGCACACTCCTTTTCTGGCTGCCCTGCATGCCCACAGCGGCTTTGGGCCATGTCCCCTGGGCTGCATTTCTGTTAGCATCCAGACCCAGCTTTTCTGTCTTTATCACATGAATGTGTTTGGTTTCTGCAGGAAAGCCCACTTCTGATAAACACGAGTAGATACAAGGTGGTTGCTAAACAGAAGTAAACCAAAATAGCTAAGCCAGATGCCTTTAGGACAGGAATTGGAGTTTGTTATATCTTAACTGGGGACTGTTTTGATTATTCTACAAAGGCCCTTTCATTTTCTCTGACAAATAAAAACAATCCATGATGAAATTAAACCGTCCTCCTTCATAAGTAAGAAGGGCACATACATTTCCGTTGTTTGCTGAGAGTTGTTCCTTGCTGACACGCACTATAAAGCATTTTTGCTGAAATGCACGCAGTTTCTGAAGCCAGTGCCTTCTCTGTTCTCCAGATGGTCTTTCTGGTCGAGACCAGCCAGTGGAGTTGCTGAACCCTGCCCGCGTGAATCACATGCCCAGCACGGGTAAGTCCGCACATGCTGCCTGTGGTTTGAGGCTCTGCTTTGTTGGGGGAGTGTGGTGAGAAGGGGCGAGGTGTGGGTCAGCAGTTTCCTTGTGTTGTGGGCACTCTTACCTGGGGTCAGAGAAACCTCGTTTTGAAGATGAAATGGACCTTGGCTTGCTGCAGTCTAAGTGGCAGAGAAGCACTGATCTAAAGGATATGTTCTGCCCAGAGACTGACTGCCTGTTTTAGCTTTAAGCCCAGGCACAGGTCCAGTGAGGCACTGGTCCAGTGAGGGTCTGTGGGAAGAGTTCTGAGCTTGTGTGGGCTCCAGCCTGGGGCTAGGAGTTCCACACCGTTGTGTGGCCAGGCTCCTGACCAGCCGCATGGCCTCAGGCAGCTCACATGTTGTCCAGGGGCCTTTGGGTTCTCTTGGTAAACTGAGTCAGATTGCAGTCTGTCAAGCACCTGTTTTTAACAAAAAAAATTGACTGTAATTATAAATCTCTCCATAGACGATATTTCTAAGTATTATGCTTGAAGTAATGTTTTCTAAGTCTGTATGCAATGGACACATTTTTGTGTTTTCTTCTTCAGTCAGACCCCTTCCCTCGCGTAGAATCCTTTAGGTCTTGAACTCAGAGCATGAGCTCCCTTCTTCCAGGGCCCTTGGTCTTAGGGTAAAGTCTGGATCTCCTGCAGACCCAGGGCTCAGTGAGCTGCAGTCCTTGTCTCACACATGTGCCATTGCCATGTCTGATGTCCTGGTCTCTGGTCTTTGTGCTGTTGCCACACCCTCTTTGGCAGTGCAGCCCCCTGTGCCCCTGGGACCCTAGGACATCACCCCGCCCCCCAGAAGTAGAAGCTGGTGAGGAAGAGATGTTTCTTCTCTGAGGAGGGCCAAGGGTCTTTCTGGCATTTCTGCAAACACAGAGCTCCAGAGGAGTCTTAACTGTGCCCCCAAAAGGTGTTCGTTTCCTTCCTGGGACCTGGGCTCTGCCACCGCAGTCCTCTCCATTCTTGCCTCACAAACAACTGGCTGCCCCACACAGGAGCCTGTCTTCAGAGCTTTAAATACCCGGGAGACGCTCACATTTAAAAGTCTGCCTCGTGTAAGCAGTCTTTTGCTTTCTCTCAAGTTCACTTTGCCTGTGTTGTTGGTGTTTATACTGAATCCTTGTGTAGGCTGGACATTTTGAAGCTTCTTGGGCTCCTGGTGCTGGTGTGGAAGAGAGCTTTTCAGATGGCTTGATGGACTGTGAGAATACAGTAAATATGTAGTGTTTCCAAGCAAACCAGAAAAGATGGCTTCCACAGGATTTTCTGACATGGGAAGTGTAGTTAGCAGGGACCTAGACCCCACCTTAATGTGAGACTGGACCATGGCCAAAGTGGATGTGCTGGTACTTGCTGGCTTTGTGATCTTAGTCATGTTGTTAAATAGTCATGTTTTGTTTAGATGGGGATAATGCCTCTCTGCAGAATTCTCACAAAGACCAAATACATATGTCAGCTTTTATATGTGTCAGATGTGTGTGTCAGTGGTTCCTCAATAAACATCATTTCTTAATGTCCTTTTAACTAGTATTGAAAATAGTGTGGGAGATAGCTATGGCATGCCAGTTCAAGAATGGAACATTTGCTATCGCTTTTTACCCTCATTCTCTTATGTGAGGAACCACCCAACTTGCGCTACAGAGGGCCAGGAAGGGTGCCCCTGTGAAACTGGTGGTCCTCGTTACTCTCCTTGTAGCTAGGTTCCTATTGGTCAGCCGAAGGACAGTTTGTATTTCCTGGTGCTGATTGCATATGTTGGCATCAGTGGAGATTGAAGTGTTTGCACCCTTTGCAGTGCTGTGCGCAGCTGGCAGAGAGTTCTGTGTGGAGCATCCATTGTGAAGCCCATGTGTTGGTGTTGCCCTAGAACTGCTAAAGGTGAGGGTGCTCTGGCCACGTGAATCCAGTGTACAATGCCTCAAGGAAATACTCATCTCCAGTTATATATTACTTTAAAAATTGATGTAAGAATGTCCTTAAAGCCATATTTTTTAGATGTGAAAGTGGAAATATTTTTAGGTATATTTTTATGTCAATCCCTATTTGTGTATTTCCTAGCAATTGGATTTAACCTCTCTTGTTCTGTTTCCACTTGGAGGTATGAAACAGCATAGAAGATAAAACTGAGGAATTGATCCAATTGGAGCTTGTTCCACGTACAGACACTTTCCTGTGAATATGGAAAGTGCACAGAGAAAGTGCACTCACCTCTCCAGTTTCTTGACCATTCCATCATGAACAGTGGCATTTTCAAAGCAGGGTTTCCTGATTGTTCTTCTTTTAAAATACTCTTACCTTCTAACAAAGTTTCACTTTAAATAAAAAAAGCTTGACTTGTATCCTCTATTTGTATGCCAGCTTGAACTGAGACTTTCAGCTCCACCAGGAGAGCATATCCCTTTGTTGGAAGAATCTGTGCTGGATGAAAATGCTGTTTGATTGGAATTAATTCCAATTTTTTTTTCAACTTCCTTCCTCTTACATGTAAATAAGACTTTTCTTTTTTTCTGTATTCCCTTTTTCCATTGTTTAAAAAATCTTAGGGCTGTGGTATAATTTAGTGGGAGAGTGCTTGCGTAGCATGCACAAGACCCTGGGTTCAATTCCCAGCATCACACAAGGAAGTTAATTGTAAAGTAATTCTAAGATAAAAGAGAAAAGACAGGGAGTGCATATTCATTTGGCTTTATAGCAGATATACAGACTTCCTGTTAATATTTCTTTTGAAGAAATTAAACATTGCCAGCAAGACCAGGTTGTATCGTCTCCCCTCCCTCTAGTGGTCCATGTCTTTGTCAGTGAACACAAGGGCGGCCCCGGGTAGGGACTCAGTGCAGAGGTGGAGTTGGCATGGCCGTCCTGGGTGCTGGGGGGATCTTGTGGACCGGGCTCTCACCTGCGCCTGGTGTTGCCCACAGAGCAGGGAGGCAGTGTTCTCAGTCCACTGTGGTGGGAGAGGACATGCTGGAGCTTGAGGACAGAGGGCAGAGTGGGAAATACAGTCGCCCCTTGCTATGTTACAGTTCTCACTGTGTTGTGGGTTTTTAAAAGTACATCTAATTCTGTATCGTGGAGTTCTCACTGTATCGCGGGATTTTGTAGTATATAGGTATTTATATAATATTTATATAATATTTATGATTTTAATTATTCTTGCCTAAAGGTTAATAAGAGAGTGGGAAAGGTTTATAGGCATGTGGGAAAGGTTTATAAAGTCTTAAAATATATATATATAAATAATGAAATAAATATAACACCGCTACTTCGCAGATTTTCACCTATTGTGGGGGTCTCTGGAGTGTAACTCCCACAGTAGGTGAGAAATCACTTAGTCAGCTAGGGGAGTGAGTTCTGGTACAGGCCAGCAAAATACCAAACTGGAATCACCTACTCAACTGTATCATTAGCTCAGATTGGAGGAAGCCTAAAAAAGCTAGTAAATCGTTTGTTTCTAATCATTGTAATTTTTTACTTTTCCCCTGATCATAAAAGGATGAATACTTACTATGGAGAAATGGCACTGTACCATGTACTGAGTGTTGGTCTCCAGAACTGCAGGGCAAGGCAGCCCAGAGCTGGATGGCACAGGTGCTGGTAAGCCTTGAGCGAGCTCATGGACAATACACAGGAACCGAGCAGAGTACAAAACCCAAATAATAGTAGGATGCGGGTCCGAAGCCCTTGCTGGAGACTGCATAGCACACTGAGGGCTTTATCCACATGCTGTTCCCTGCACTTGCGTCTTCCCCTGTCTCAGGCTGAAGGAAGGCAGGGTCCCGAGGTCCAAGGTCACTTTTCCAGGGCCACTCAGCATAGAAGTCATGGGGCAAGAGCCCATTTCTCTCAGGGTTGTGCTACTGGTGGTGAAGACATCCTTAGAAATACTGCGCCTTTCTGTCACTTGAGGGGTACACAGGAGGCTCCCCATATTCCTGAGACAGTGCAGTGCCACCAAGCACCTTCCACAGCTGCAGGACCCTAGCAAGGCTGCAGTTCTTAGTGAGCACCCAATAAGTATTTCTCCCCTCTACGAGCTTTACTTTTAAGGTTTCACATCAAAAGTACAATTTTTAAGAGAAACTTCTGGAATCTTAAAGGGGTAAAAGTACCGAAATGAGAGAGAATGTCTCTAAAATAGCAAAAAGTTATTACTTTGCTTTAGCCATGGATTCCTAAATCACAAAGGTGTATGACTCGTATCCAGAAGCGCAGTTACTGGGCTTCTAGACACTGACTTGAATTTTGGCAGGAGCTGCCGAGTCTGTCAGGAATCCGAAGCTCAAGTCATCTCCCCACTGTAGCCACTGCCTGGCTTGATGAGAGGAACCTGGATCCCATACCCAAGTGAGAGCACATGTACCCGGGGGAAGGCTCAGCAAGTGCCCTACTGACACCGAAGCCCAGGGATTACACGCAGCCCTGCAAACACAGCTGTGGTTGCAGTCGTCTTACTCTTCCCCCTAGAAACTACTCTGTGTGTCTCTAACGTGAAGCTGGAGTCTCTGGCTTGGGGCAGGGTGGAGTAGAGGGCTAATGGTGACATTGGTGGTTCCTAAGGATGGCTCTGCTGAAGCTCCAGCAGGGTGGGAATGCAAAGAGCACTCCTTCGGCTCCTTACTGAGGGGCTGTCTCAACCCCTGGAACTTCCATTGTCCTCCTGATTGTCCTTCTTGGTGACCATTCCTCTCTGGTTCCCAGGCTGCTAATAGGAGTGGGCTGGCATAAGAAGAGGCCCACATCCACTGCCCCTCTGGTCCTCCCTACTAGCATAGAATGCCACCTGGTTGGCCTTTTTTATGTTTATTGATTTAAAAGTTTTTTGGTTGCATTTTATTTTTTGGAGGCACAATAAAATAAGAGAAGAGGACTTGTCTTCCTTAGGTCACACCAACTTGAGTTTTGTACACACACATCCTTCCCACTGCTTTGACTCTTCAAAGCAGCCATTTCTCTCGGGCTGCTTGC